GGGTAACAGAGCCAGCAAGGTTGGCAAAGTTTCAACCAACCAATTAGAAGCGAGCCGAGTTGGCCGATTCAACCAACCAATTAGTAGTAGCAAGGCTCTCGGTACGAGAATGCCAAAAGTGTCACAGAGGAGACTGAGCAACACAGTCGCTGGCGAGCAGGGTACAGACAGTTCATCGGCAGGCAGCAACACGCAGCAAAATGCCGCAGAATCAATTACGAATTCTGGCATCACAGATGCCGTAGAATCAATTACAAATTACAAATTGGCATCACTGATCACTGGCCTCACGTGCCAATTCAAACACAAGGCATGCGAGCATCCTTCACAAAATAACTCATCCGAAAGTGGACTCACTCGAGGAAAACGGCCACGCTCTCAGAGAAGGTATGTGGCCACGCGTTGTCGGGCAGACGGCATCGGCACAGCCCCCAGACTAGAGCCACGAAGGACGGCATAGACATCGCCAAGCAGAAATGTCAGAACCAGGACGGTGGCCAGGGCAACCAAACAGAACGGCTCAGTAAGCACGATCCCCATCACATAATTCCGACATATCCATGCGGGAAATATGAACTGCAGACCAACGTCCATCCAGGCCTTGTAGTGTTTCAGCTGTCCACGACCAAGCGGAATCACTACCACGCCTGCAGAGCAATGGTCACCAGCGATGCAACCACTCCTGTGGAGTATATGCAGAACAAGCGCCACAAGGCCATAAGTTTTTCCAGGGCCATCATAGTCTCCGGAATTGCCACAGTGAGCTCAAGCACCATTGATCCAGCCAGCACCCCGAATCATCCAAGGAAGGCAGAAAAGTATATGCGCAGATCAGTCTTTCGCATCCCACCTCGAAGATACAGGTCGGCATCGACATCAGCTCCAATGGAAGTCAGTCCTCGCTCCCACCTTGAAGACACAGGCGGGCATCGACATCAGCTCCATTGCGGATTGCACTGCCATGGCTGAAGCGGCTTCTCCGAAAAGTAAGAAAATAGGAAGTCAAACATCAAATCCCGCACATCTCATGGCAGCCCAGTAAACCCACATGGCTTATGTAGACCATGGCTCATGTGCTCCCTGAAGCAGGGCAGCGGGCAGTTGGAGGGTGCGGGGGAACGGACGGACGTGTGAGTGTGAGAGGGAGGCAAGGTGGAGAGCTTGGGCGGTGGTCAAGTGGGCGGCACCTTTTTGTTTGGTTTTGGATTTTTTTGGTGCACTCGAAGTGACGACACAGACCACGCGCGGGTGAGTGCGGTCGCTCTCCCTCCGATACTCTTCTTCTGTCTGGCAAGTAGGACACAAGCATATACATCGCGCCAGGCCGGGCTGCGTCTTACACACAGGTCTGGAGGCTGGCAGCGACCAACAGTTGTCAGGAAAGCACATAGATGTTACTACCACGATAAAATCTAGGAGTATGGGGTAATACTGTGGACGTCTTAAGATCCCAAAGTTATCCAGGCAAATTCTCCAAATTCCAAATTCCGAATTCCGAATTCCGAATTGCAAACTGCAAAGGAGAAGCAGTAAGTGCACAATGCATGCAGAATTTAAATCGCAAGCGACACCCCAAAACCCCTGAAAGGTCTGAACGACTGCATCAGACGGACTGCACCTGGCATGAACCTGATGATGTTGGCATGTTGATGAAACGAAGGAAAGGGAGAGGGTTGAGGAAATGAGGGGATGGGAGAGTTTGGGCTGGAGGTAGGTTTGGCTTCGGGCTTGGTGCAGATGATCCTTGATGTTCTTAAAAGCAGGCATGGTAATGTAACGGCAGGGGAGGTTACACTCAGGGGCGGAGGTCACAATGCGATGCACTAGGCTACAAACTGTCGTCCTGGATTACGACCGGGGGATCAACAGGGGGATCTACCGTCCTAGCAAAGGTTTGGTGTAACGTGGGCTGAAGAAGTGACGCCGAGCGCCGAGGCACAGGCACTCCCAGGCTGTGAAGCCAGGCCCGGACCGGTGCTGAAGACAGCGCGTGCAAGGTGGTAAAGGCCACCAAAACAAGACGCTCGGTGCCAGTCCAAGGCATGGTAGCATGAAGCCTACTCCTAGCTTGAAATACCAGCGGTGACTCATGAATGTCATGAACCGTCCCTTTCAATTCTTGCCCCAAGTACTGAATTTCAACTGTTCCTGCCGAATCCGCAATCCAAAGCCCCCCTCCTGTCACGTTAGTCAGGCATTGGATGTAGCTTTCATCAGAACCATTACGCGTGTCACGGTGTGGTGCTGTCTGCATGTTCATGCGGAGGGCAAGGGTACTGAACTCAAGCATAGGGTGTGTTTGCTGTATGAAGCCTATACACAGCTCAGTTGCGTGGGGAAGTTGGGAGGTCGGGTTTGTAACTTGGTCATGCTTCCTAGGGTGCGCTCCAAAGACGATATAGCGACCTGGGCCTCCTTTAGGGTCATGGTTCTTAAGATAAGTGGGTAGGGTTTCCCAGAGTTCCACCAGGTCTGACTTCGTAATGGCTTGGCCTCTTTGACGTTTGCACAGGAAACTGTACGCCAAAGCTTCAGCAGGGACGTGTTTGGGCTCTACTTTGAGGGCTTTAGCTAGGATTTGGGTGCTGTGTTCATCAAGATCATGAGTTTCCGAGTCTGTAGGAGTGCAGGGGCTTGTGCGGGGTGACGAGGGGGTGACAGGCTCTGGCTTTGGAGGGCCGCAGGTTCCTGCGGCACCACGGTTGCCCATTTCCTGGCGTAGGGCCGGTGTCAGTTGGACCTCATCATGTACGACGGGCTGGGGAGCAGCATGGTTGGGGGAGAGGGCACAGCGGCATAGGTAATGATATGGTTCTTCTGCTGCTGCTACTTCCCACCACTGTCTTTTCATGGTGACAGGCCTCGACAGGTGAGAAAGGGCTGCGACATGGTGGCTGGATCAGCATGGGCAGTCATGGAGCTGCAAAGCATCGCGCTAACATGCTGCACACTCAAGCAACTGCGTGAACTGGACATGGAGCTGCAAATCCTCTCATGCTGCACAGTCAAGCAACTGCGTGAACTGGAGGGGTCACGGTCGCGCATAAAGTTTGTCTTTTGCTTGCACGGCACGGACTAGTATAGCAAGGATCGCGGGTCACCCTTCTAGGGAACTTAGCCCTGTCGAGGCAGGCAAATGCAGGCCTTCCAATAGGAAGGTTGAAAAGCTGCTCCATTCACTGGCATGGCAAACCGAATGAAGGCTCCAATTAAAGAGTTGGTAATTACAAATTACAAATTGCAAAGTACGAATTACAAATTACAAATTCCAAATTAAAGGTCAAATTACAAATTGCGAATTACGAGGACTGACCTCAATTCAGGCAAAGGCCCACACGCAAGGATGAGCCGTGGATTAGGGCAGCGCAAACAAATTTGGTTAATCACTAAATTCAACAATGCAGAAATTGGCAGGCAAGCACATTGCAGCTTGTTGAATTACCCGCGAAGACCAATGTGAGACAGGCTTAGATGTTCTCTTGTGCATAAGTGCTGCAGAATGGGAGTCACAGCTGCTAAACAGAAACCATGAAACATGAAACATTAGACATGGAAGCTAGAACAGATACAGCTGCGAAATAAGTGGACTCCAGGCGGCAGAACAGAACATGTCAGTGGCGAGTTCGAAAATCAAAACTGGCTACCACGGCTCAGAAGGGCCTGCAGGAGCTCCTGTGTGCTGACATTTCGCAAGGTGGAGTTGCCTCCCAACATGTAGATGCCCCCTTGATCGCGAACCAAAGGCTGTATGTGGTCCGAGAGTCTGATGGGCTGCGGATCGATGATGGGCACGGAAGGCATCGGCGCTGTCGGCATCGACGGCATAGGGGGTGTCGATTGCTGGGGAGGCGGCGTAGTGCTGGAGGCGGCGTCAGCTTGCGGTGGATTGCGTTTAGGGAGTTTCGGTGTGCGCTCAACGATGGTGGTGACTTGCTCCATCATCAAGTTATGCGCCTCGCGGAGCTGCTGTACTTGGTCCGACGTTTCGTTGATAACATCGGTCGATCCCATGCAGATGGACTCCAAGCGCACCAAGCGGTCCTCCACATTGCTGACCGTGTCCAGTGTATGTTGCACCAAGTCATGGCGGCTCGACTCCGACTGGTTCGCACGAACCAAATAGTCCAGCGCATCTTTCTGCGTGTCAACCAGCGTTTTATGGTTGGGCACCAGAACATTGAGCCCACGAAAACTGTAATTTGTCTCACCTTGGAAGCGCTTCAGGTCGGCTTGTGTGCTGTCCAGCTTAGTCTCCATCTTGGTACGAGTCACATGGATGTCAATGCCCAATTGCTTGAGCATTTCCTTAAGTTCTTGAGTCAAAGCATCCAGCTTAATAATGCGGTCATGCGTGCTCTTGTTGTCGCTCTGTAGGCATTGGAGGGTTTCTCGTCCTTGTTTCAGCAGGCCGTCCGACATGGTCTCTTGCATGCTGAACTGCTTCTGTGTGTCCAGTCCCAACGTCTGACACGTCCTTGTCAGCGCCGGGATTGTATGGACCACCGGCAAGGCTTCGGCGATCTTCTTGTGCTTGTCGACCAAGGTCAAGAGAAGGTCCTTCAGGGGCTGAATGGCCTCCTCACTGGACCCGGGCTGTTGCAGACCCATTTGGTGATTCAAATCACCGATGGATTTGCGGAGACGTTGGGTCTCGTTGTTCAGCTCCAGAATTTTGGCATCCAGGCACAACATTGTATTGGCCATGTCCGAGGAAAGGTCATTACGAGTTGCATCGGACGCTTGTGTGCCATGGGCCACCGGGAGCCTAGGCATCTGATCAAGTAGTGGCTGAACATTGGCTGCAAGGTCTCCCACCGCATCCAGTAAGCTTTGCATTGCAGTCTGGTCTGGGAGCGTCTGCACGTTGTTTGCAAGATTGCCAACTGCCTTCTGCAGGTCCTGGAAAGCGGCGGGCAGTGCTTGTACGTGACGTTCAAGACGTACGAGTTTGGTCCATAAAGTACACACAAGGACCATCGTGAGGAGCCCTCCAAGAAGGACCGCTCCGGCTGAGAACCTCAGCCAACCTCCTTGCAGCAGGAAGCTTCCAACCGCAATGGCATCTTCCAAGGCCGGTACCGTCGACAGGCTAGCCATGGCCGATGGGAGGTAGCGAAATGTCCCACGTGTTGTCAAGGATCCTCTGCAGGGCTGCGCTTTATAACAGGGCAACGCATCCGACACCTGACAGGTTAGTTGAGCGGCCCCAATTAGTGTACCGTCCTGCCCCCCCCCCGTGTTGCTACAGCCATTCATGAAAGTTCGGGAAACCATGGTGTGGCAAGTTCAGATACACACGACTATAGTCTGCTTTCCTGTATAAAACACGCGTGTGGTTAAAGGAAAGAGCTGCTCGTGCAAATTTATCAGCGATGGTGTTGAGGGGGTGTCCTGCATGTCCACGTACATGCTGTTTTCTGGTGCGAGGACAGACTTCACGCCAAAGACTAAGCAGTTGATGCAGATCATGAGGGTGACAATTAAAGCGACACTGCTCATCAAGGATTTGCAACACAAAGCTCGAGTCAGTCATAAATAGAATAGGCACGTCATGTATGTGGGGGAGTGCTGCGCGAATCATCCGTAGAGCATGTATGGCGGCTCTGAGCTCAGCCTTGGTTGAGGTGCAGTCTCCTTCGACCTTGCCCTGAGCAACAACCGCTTCCTGAATGGGGGCGTAGGGCGCAAGAAAACTGACGGCGAAAGCTCCGAGTTTGTTTCTATGGCTACCATCCGAACAAACTTGAAGGCAGGCTTCGGCTTCGTGGATGACGGGACTAGGAACAAAACGATAAGGCGCTTCGTAGGGTTCTTCTACTGGGATATGTCTAAACGGCAAGAGGCAAAAAGCTTCTCCAGTTTGCAATAGACATCGGCCAGAGAGGTCAACTTTGTTTATGTCAGGATAGTACTGCAGGGGCTGGAGTCCTTTATGGTTCAACCATGCGCGAACAAAAAGCTTCCAGTTGTCTCGATCAAGTGCTGCGTCTTCCCAATAGGGGGGCGTTCCCAGGCCGCGCAGTTCCTCCCATTGTAACTGAATATAACGGTAGGAGTTAGGCCAGTATCCTAACTGGCGTCGAGTTTTTTTCCAGTTATCCTTAAGCCAATGGGAGTCACGAATGCGAAGGACAACGCAAAGGGGGGCATGCCGGGAAAGGTGAATTCGGGCCGCGTGTCCCCAATATGACATAAAGCTGACGGCATGCGCGCCAGCCCAAGACTGATGGGCAAGAAGTTGCGCGCACATACGACTTGCGCGTCTTCGAGATACCCAGTTGGCAGAGGAGGTGAGGAAAGGATCGAAAGCCAACCCAGCCAGGGAGGTGAGAAAGGTGGCATGCATGGAGGATAAGGCTTTACGCACAGCAGTTACGGGGCGTACACAAGGACTCATCCATCTCCAACGGGAAGTAACGTAAGTGTTAAGCAGATGAAGGCGTTTGCGCAAAGAGGCACAGGGACGGCGAAGTATTCTGTAGTAGCCCCAAAATGAGTTATTGGCCAAAGAGAGGCGAGAGGCAAGAATGGTCTGTGAATTAAGATCAAACCCCATAAGGACACCGAGGAACTTAAACGCGCGGACAGGAGAAATCGTGACATTTCGGACACACAGGTCGCGAGAAGGCAGATCCGGAGAAACAACAAACTTGCACTTTTCCAAAGCTAGGGAGAGCCCAATCGACGAAAGGATATCGACGACATCCTCGAGTAGGCGGCGCGCTTGCAAGTAAGATGTAGCTAAGAGAATAATATCGTCTGCATACAGCAAATTAAAAAGTTTCGTCGTAACCCCATCTGGTCCAGTAGATTTGATCCAGGTGTCCATGGACAAGTCCCACCGGGTACACATGAAGCCCAGGAAATGATCTAAAGTCCGACCGAAGATTTCCGCGCTATAGCTGGACCCCTGCAACAATCCACGAAAAAGCTTCTGTTGCCAGGATTCACCACCAATTCCAAGGACGACACGAGAGAGAGTAATAATTTTGAGAAGGAGGAGGGACTCAACTTTGCCACCAAGAAGGGCGAGAAAACTGGCAACAGAATCATGCGACAAGTGGTCGAACGCTGAAGAGATGTCGAGTTTAATCGCGATTAAAGGCAGCTTGTATTCCTGTGAAAGATGAATTACATGCTGGAGGCAGGTCGAGCCGTCTAAAGTTTGCGACCCCTTAATACAGGCGATCTGGTTAGCAGAGGGTGGTGGAAAGAAAGGCCGAAGACGAGTGAGAAGAATTTTGGTAAAGAGTTTGGAAGGCGTGGAAGAGAGAACAATTGGACGAAGGTGTTTGGGAATAGAGGGACAAGAGATTTTGGGAATAAAGGTAAGACGACTGAGAAGCCACGAGGAGGGGATTTCAGCTGTCTGAAAGAGGATCGAATTAAAGAGGTCAACAAGATGAACGCCGAGATCAGTCAAAGCGAGAGTCTGGAGAAACTCGTAAGAGATCCCATCTTCGCCGCACGACTTACCGGCCTTGCAGGTAGAAAGAACAGAGTTAACTTCCTGAAGGGTAATCAGGGCAGGCTTTTCGAAGCGAGGGACACGAGCGAGAAAAACATCCATGGGAGGTACCATGGGCGGGGTCTCGGGTGTGTATTTAATTTTGTAAAAACGCTTAAGTTCCTGCACGGCCTGGGAAGTTCCCCCTGCTCTCGCTATGTAGTTGCTATGCATGGTAACAACACTCTGCCGTCGCCTGAAGTACGCAATGGCCCTGAAATCACCTTGGGCGCCTTTATCAAGAAGATCAACTAGCCAAGCCGATTTAGCTGCACTCCTGGCCCTCAGGATGTCCTTGCCCAAGAGACGGGCTTCAGGTCCAGCTAGGCGACGAGGGTTTAGGATTAAGGGTTTAGGGATTTAGGCGTTGCGGCCCGAGCGAAATTAGGGGGCGGCTCTGTGATAGCAGTTTGCCGTTGCCCTTTTCCGTCCTTCCCAACCCTAGCAGTGCGCCATCGCTCTGCGCCGGGCTTTCACTCGTGTGAAGCCCCGTCTCCTGTGAGGAGACTGAGGGGAAGCGCTTCCCCCTCCCTCCAAGTGGAGGTCACTGGCTTCGCTGCAATTAAATTTGCCGACGCTGGTGTCAGCCTTCTGCGAGGAGGCATATCTACCCCTTCTGTCGCTGCGGATCTCGCCGACAACTGGTGGTGGTTATATTTGGCGTGGTGGTTACACATTTATGTGGAGGCCTCGCCCTTACCTCTTGTTGGTACCTTTGATAGTGCTGGGATTGGCTTTGACTATCTGGGGCAGTGGAGCCCCCTCCAGCCACGGGAAGACATCGGCGTCTTCCGTCTCCGAGCTGGCATCGACGCCAGCGGCGAGCACGCTCCAAGGCACGCAAAAGACTTCACTTGGGTCAGGAACTGCCGGGCGATCGGGCCCTCCTGGAGGCTCATCACGGCAGCATGGTGCCGAAGGCCGCAGACAAGAACAACCCCAAGGCAGCCGGCAAAGGCAAAAGCAAGGGTGGAGATACGCCTCAGACATCCAAGATCGACTTCGCTTTGCCAACGGCAATGGTTACCTGCTTACAGGCCATTACTTCCAGATCTACGCAAGATCTGTGGACGTCACCAACGGCGGTTCCTACAGATCTTTCAGTAGAGCAGCAAGCACAAAGAAGGGCATCGGCTGTGGGCAAACTTTCCAAGCGAATAAATGGAGACCTTCGTGCAAAAGAGGAACTTCGCACGGCCCTTCAGACGTGGATGAGCACTATTGGTTTGCACCTAGCCGGATTGGCTCAGAGAGTTCGGGCACTCGGAGACAAAGTGGATGTGGATCTTGCCGAGGCCTGTCGAGAAATGCAAGCGGCCCTAGCAGTACAGCCATCCCTGGCCACCTCGGAGCAGGTTGCCACCGCCATCGATGCTATCGGCAAGCCTATTTGGTCATTGCCTCAGGAGCAAGAAACACTCCGCCTCGCTGCCTCTCTTCGTGCATTCAGTGTGGTGGAACTGCCCGCCAGAGGACCCGATGGGATGTCGGAGGTCAGTTTTGGGACTGCAGGTATCGTTCCGTTTGGTACTGCAGATTCTGCTATGAATGGAGCCGGTGCAGCGGCCATGATATTCGATGGGGGCGAAAGTGGAAGGCTGCTCCATACTGGCGATGCATCCTCCGGTCACGCGAGGGTTCCTCCGAGTACTGCACCGGATCGAGATGCGCATGCAGGCGTTCCCGAGGGAGTCGCTTCCCGGGCCAAGCGCTGGCGACGCAGGGATGGTGCCGAAGCCAGCCGGCCATCCAAAAGCCCGAGGAGAGAGGTTTTAGCAGGTGCTCCTTGGCCGGCTTCAGCCACCGGTACAACACCGGATGCTTTGCAACGACAGCCACGAACACAACTCCTGGAGGTCGAAGAGTCTGTACACTCTACGGAAGATTCTGGGCTAACTTGGGAGTCCGCATGGCAGCAAGTGTTACAGTTCGCCCTAGAACATGGGACAGCGATGGTTGGCGAAGTCATTCGCGACTCTCAGCAAGACGCGGTCCTGCCGTTGCAGGACGACAGCCCAGAAGACAGGGCCGATCTCCTGGCGGCAGCCGAAGAGCTATGGATGGTTCTTCAAGCAGCGGCGGGCTTGGCAGATGCCGCGGCCGTCCCCTCTTTATGTGTGCGATTGCAAGAACTCCTCAATCGAGTTCGGCAATGCCCCAGTGCGCTCAGTGGCATCAGACAAGGGACGCTGCTGATGGCACAAATCACGGTCGGGAACCTGCTCGATCCATATTCTTATGCTCCGACAACTGCCCAAGAATGGCTGTTTCCAGCAGCTATCGCCGAGCATGGGGCACTTGCACGGGGGCACATCGCGACCATGCCCTCGGCTTCGCAGGCCATGACCGCTCTGCTTGCCAAAAGATGCCCTGCCCTCCTTCGAATACCAGACGATGGCGTTCCAGACTTGCTTTAGGGTGGGCGATCCTGGTTCTCATCGTGGGCGCTTGTTGTTCTGCGAAAAGAGGACCTCGCTCAAGCCGCCCTTGCCTCAGTATGATTCTGGCGTCGACGCTGATCTGTACCAAAGGTTGGTTCCACGGCATATTCGGCGAGAACCTTAGGTTTGCTGTAAAAAGTTTCCGCTGTACATACATACGATGTACAGACATTGTGTACAGCCTGCTCCTTCGGTTGTCAAATTCCCTTTCGAACAGGCGCGCGGCAGTTCTTGCCCAGGCTTATCTACATTCCGGGCGCCCTTCCCGTGGTCGCCACCAGACCCATCGCGGCGGTCCCAAGGGGCCCCCGGCCGGTTCTCGGCTTCAGGCTGGCTTCTTCCTCTGGCTTTTGGTGTTTCCGTGTCAAGGGGTACAGATATGGCAACAGAGCTTTATTCAGGGGCAGCCTGTCTTTACTACCAACAGTGTTCCGCCGGTCCAGGATATCCGCGATCTTCAGCCTGTCAGGACACCCAACTCTCCTATCGTGGAACCAGTGTTAAGAGCCGCCCCGCAAGCTCTTCGCACGATCTGTGTTTATAGGCCTCCATCGGCCGAGCAACCAACCGTTATGCTTGCTGATGATAGGGTGCATGGGCAGCTCTTGCATCGTATGATTTGTTCTGCCTTCGGCCTTGTTGATTCAGAGTGGTGTCTGAGACGACTGGTGGAGGCTCTCCCTTCACTTCCACCTGAACAATATGTATTGTCGCCAGCAGTCCTTTCTTGGGATCAGGTGTTAGTGCCAGTTGACCTTCGACCTTTGGGGGGAAAGGTTCGCCTTCAGCTCACGCATCGTTGTATGGCTTGTGGAGAAATCGCTGCTCGTGCTATGCAAACGCAGCATCTGGGCCCCTGCCCGGTCACCCTTTGCCGCACGAGTCAAGGTTGGTTTCATCCCACTGCGCGTTTGCTTTTGTTGCCATACGGTGATGCCTTCCAGGTTTGGCCGATGCATCAGGTTCCTACAACCGAACTGAGTTCGCTCACCGATAATGATGATAGGCCCCCTACCCTTGAAGATCGGTTTAGCACCAGTCTTTCACTTCCAAGTACTGGTGAGCTCGCGTGCCACGACCTCAGCGGAGCTAATGCTGTCATTCTGCATATGCATGGTCACACATACGCTTGTGTCCCCTCGTACGCAGACCACTTAACACTGCGATCAGCTGCATTGGCAGCAGTCGCTGCTGACCTCCAGATCCTTCCAGCCGGAAGGCTCTGCTGTGCTCGCCTCCTGCCTCCCCTTGATCGCATGCCGGCTATTCAATATGTTGCTGCCTACTGTCGTGAGGGTGAAGCTATGGGAGTTGTTGACCTCCGTCCTTCTGAAGGAGGGGTCTATGTGGTTGCTGTTCCGGAGGGCGCGACGCCAGCCGAGAGGATTTCTGTAGCAGTCAACATACATGGAGAACCCTCGGCGAATAGTCCAATTGCGGCTAGTCTTATGCAGGGTCATCTGCAAGTCCTCCATCGAGAACATGTCGTGGACCCTTTCGCTCCCTTGAACGCTGCTCAGCCAGCTCCCATTGTTGTCCTCAGACGCCGCAGTCATCTCACTGCAGGATATAGGGACCCTAGTCTGCCGGTTGACGACCTAGGTACTGATAGCCATGAGGTTCCGTTGATCTTCGGTCCTAAGCAAGATGAGCGGTCAGCGGCAGTAAGTTCCGTTTCGGCTTGGACAGGGGCCCTCCTTGGGTGCCTTTCTCTTTCCATTGCACCTCGACCGTGGCTGCTCTCCATCCTGGCCGCTGCTGTGCTGGCTGTTAGAGACCAGAATCTTGGTGAGCCTCTCTCTTCTCATGCAGAAGGTAGGCAATGAAGCCATTATCGTGTCGTTTGGGGTTTTCATTTCCGATTGGGT